CTGCCATAAGCAAAAGAAAATCCGTTTCAGGAAAGTAATTAATACTCTCTTGAGTATTAATTGATGAAAAACTATCTGCATGTATAGTAGCCTTGTAGAGCTACCATGTGTATGCCCTGTAGAGCCCCATGTATATATAGCCCTGTAGAAGGGCTTCTATAAAAAAAGTGCTCTTTAAAAATATTTTTTAGTATTTTCTCATTCCTCTCTTACCTCTCTATGGTGTCCACAGCGGGCCCTAACTTACTTCATGAGCAAGTAGAACTCAGTGGTTATTGTTTCAGTTAATTCTGTTGACTCAAAGGCTGGCCTGAAATAACGAGCAGGAAAGCAGTTAGGGAAGCATAAGCATTTTGATGTATTGGTTGTTTGCATGATTCCCAGTGCTGAACTAATACAGTGCTGCCCATGTCTCGTTTGCACTTTGTTAGTCGGTTGGTTTTTTTAGGGTAGGTGATAGCTTGTTTATTACCATGACTCAATAACCCTGTGCCCCATTGGAGCTGTGATAACAGTCTTTGTGCATGCTCAACCTACAAAAAAGCATGCAAAATAATCTGACTTAACAGTACTAAACCAAATTATCTCAACAGCTGTCATAGTTCAAAAACCTCATGCTAAGAGTTCCCACATCTCAGCTAACATGTTTTAAGTTGTGTAATATAGAACGTAACATCACTCTTCGCCTCTGAACTTCAAATTATTTTCCTTTTTGTGGCTGGTGAACCCAAAATCCAATCTGCCCTACGCATGCTTTACTGTAGAAGTTTTGGGTGCTTGCTTTCATGTTTTTCCAAATTGGGATGTAAGCCATATTCACCAATATACATTTATGGTCTACCCACAATCCGTATTATGTGCTTATACAAGACTGGGGTAAGACAGCATGGATGTGGTGGCGATTACTTGGTGATATGGTTACTTTAATATTACAGCAATTGCGTGATGAATATCACTGGGCTACCACAGAACTTAACTTAGGTACAAATGCTTTTCCAAACTCTCAGGCTCTCCAGTTCTCCCTGGGGAGTTTTTTTCTAATGTCTCTGATTATTTACACAAGCACAGAAATTCTGATGAAGGAAGCAAACTGAAAAGCTAATCCTATGTGGAAAAAGTAGCCGATATGTTCACAAGAGGTTGTAATCTTTGTTACTTTAAATATTTAGTGTTTTCCCCTCATGCTTTTAAATTAAACTTTTGCCCTGGTTAATCTTGGGCTTCACTAACACCAAGCAGGCTGAAAGTTTCTTGAAATTTTGCTAGTGTCTTATTAATATCTACTCTTTAAAATCATAAAGTCACCATTGAATTCAAAAGTTTCCATTTTAGATACAATTCCTAATTACTTTATAGTAATAGTGTATATATAGTAATAGTGTAGATTTATATAGTAATATATATACACACTATATAGTATATAGTGTGTGTGTGTATAGAGAGAGAGTAAATAGACCCAGTAAACAGCTTGTTACAAATCTGCCAGTTTGACTCATGAAAAATAAGATAAACTTACAAATCAGTGACAGTACAACAATCTGGAGTGTGTTTTGTTTAGGCTCTGAAGCTCCAATTAACTTCTCAGCACAGGTAAGAGGACATTGAGAAGTCTCTTTGCAGATGGAAAACAGATCAACCTCTACTTCAAATCAGCTGCGCTTCTGAACGTGAAGAGCTGGATGGAGTGTGTTCCCATGTCCCATGGGAAGAAGGAATACTTACCTTCCACAGAGAGAAAAAACACTCATTTTATTATTTGGCAAAGACCACTTCTAATGATGTTCGTGGTAGCGATTTACTTGGTGTGTTCTAATTTATGGAAGTACCTTAAGAGAGATGCTAGTTCCACTTAAAAGAGCAGGACTCTTAGGAAACACCAGTATGCTTCCCTGAACGCAATCAGATCAGCTTTATTTTATTTTAATTTTTTTTTAACAAACACCTTGTATCACATTTTTCCAGTAACATACATGTTCCAATATGTATCCAAGTCTTTCCAATGGTGAAGCTGCTATACAAACTTTCTGATCAGACCGTTCAATTTACAGTCAGTATTTTGTGAAAAAGAGTGAAATTCTAGAATTGCCCTTTTTAGGATTTCCATGAGGCTGGTCTGCCATACCTCAGGTAAGACTGAAGGAACAGACTTAAAATCCCCCAGTTAGCTTTTCTATTTGGGCCTCTTTAAGTTAAGAATTACAGTAGTGGGGAAGAAAAACATCCTTTTTTCCATAACCCTTCATAAGAACTAAGCAAGGCACATGTTGCCTCACTCCTTGAATGCAGAAGCTTGAGCAGAAGTTTCTGTTTTGGTTTTTTAACTTCTGTTAGCTGCCCAGTTAAATACAAGCAACAGAGAAAGCACTGTAACTCAGCAGGTGAGTCTGAACGACCTTGCCCCAAACACCCCTGTGGCCTTCCAGGAAATGCCAGCAGCACAAAAAAAAATGCTGCGTGGGTATGCTTTCAGCCTGGCATCAACAGCATCACCGTCACATGAACACCGAGCGTACCTAATCGAAAGCACCAATGCGCCATTGACAGATCATTAATACTTTTTTGTTGTGTTTAAAAATTTTTAAAAGTTGTTCTGTCCATATGATGAACAGTTCTCCCAAGTAACTGAATTCTTACAGAATGAAGGAGGTTTAAAGTGTAGTTTCCCCAGCCCAAAACCAAAGTACAGCCTTTGAAACAGCTTGTTTGTGTACAAAGTAAGCTCACCTCACAAAAATCCAATAAATGACTTTATTAAATATATTCTATTCTTTTCCTCTAAAATATAAATATTCACTATACTCTTATAAATGTGGAGTAGGTCCATATTTCATTTGTCTATCCCATCCAAATATGAATCAGTCCAAAATCTGAAAATGAAGAAATAGCATCTGTAATTATCATTATTTTTTCTATAAATATATATAATATGAATTTTCTTTGCAAATTGTTTAGTTACTCGCTTATACTTCATATAGTACTGAGCACCTTAGATTACATACTGTGTCATTTAATTGTTGGTACTAATAAAGGAATTTGTAATATTTACAATGCACATATATGTTAAGTATAACATTCCAGTGATTTGTAAGTGTTGAAGGAATAAGGAAATAGTGCAGTATAGTTTACTTATGCATTTAACCTACCCCACAGTGTGCAGGTTTTCACTTTAACCTCTGGAACTTTTATAGGAGCCTGCGTCCAGATTTTTAAGTTGTACTTTGGAACAGCAATAAAAGTGTCCTGAATCACTTTTTAGAAACTTCACATAACGTTTTACTTGATGTGATATGAGTTCATACTCAAAGACCCAGTCCGCCCACGTACCGACTGCTCCCTGCTTCTCAGAAGACATTCTAGAAGCTTCAAAGCCAAAGGAGACCCAAAGAACTGCTACAGAAAGTTAGGTGAACGGCAGCGGTCGCTAAATGGGAAATGTCCATTTGGAAACTATTGCTAAGTTATGTAACCTGTTACCTCCTACCTTGTGAATTAACACGAGGAATTAATTTGTAAGTGCACGTACCGTGACAGTAAAGACAAAGTTCACAGGTAGATGAATCGCCTCCCAGGCTGGCTCTTGGCTCGTGGGAGGTGCTCAGAGTGAGGCTGCTCTTCCAAATGGCAATTTAGCTGTTGTTCTTCAATGATTATTTTCAGTATTTGCAAATTTAGCCCATCATAATTTTTAAATTTGTTTTGATGATTAAGATATCTATGGAAATCACCACAAACTAATTCCTACAGTGTGAATAAAGAGCATGACTTACACTTAACACTCAAGACTTAGCTTGAAAACAACATGGAACCAAACTGTGTTTTTAATTTTCCTCTTTGCCAGCCAAGTGACATTAAATTGAAACTTGGGTGCTTTCTCAAGAATAAAAGAAGCCTTGTAGTATGACAAGCAAACTTCTACAAACTTTGGATTTATTACTGCCTGTACAGTTCCTGTCCTTCCAAGTGTGAATTTAGGGCAAAACTCTCAAAGAAAAAAACCCACCTGTATATGAAGCAGTTCTGTTTACCAAATAAGAGCAACATAAATGCCATTCCTGTTCTGATTCTTTCTGTTCCCACCCAACCACATTAAGCCAATTTAGTAGTTCCAGGTACAAGCTGTGTGTATGATCTCGGACAGTGAAGGTCAGTGTTCCGCTTGCTGCCCGCTTTGTGCTCAGCATAACTGTGAATAAGGCCAAAACTCCGTAATTCACGTTTTGACTTAAAACAGTTAAGTTGTGGTGCAAAACAGACACCCGTAAGTTATGGGTACGGAGGTGAACACCTTACATTTCACCAGTAAGGAATAAATCTGGAGTTGCCAAGTCATGCTCGAGGAGCAGTTCCTTCCGTGTTAAGGCTCTTCTGGCAGTGCAGCTCATGTTCCTGCCCTGGTGCATTTCATCGCTGTTGTGGCCCTGCTTGAATTACTTTTCTGATCTAATCTAGAAAACTCTCAAAAAAATCAAGTCTTCCTCCTTCCTCACATTTGTCGTTCTATCAAGACCACACAACCACCCTCAGCAGAGCTGAGGGGGTGACACAGTAGGGGTAGGAGGACAGGAAGCTCAGCACGGCTTTCTGTTGGAAAACTCTGCCCTGAAAACGTGCTGGCAGAAGCTCAAGTCATGCTTCAGCAGGGATTCAGGTAACTTGAGGATGTTCCTACCTATGCGCCACTGGCAGCCGGCGCTCAGTACATCGTTATAGCTAGTCTTGCTTTAGGTCCATCGCTAGGAATGTACACGAGATGTCTTTATCAGTTAATCTGAAAGTGCCCCTCGGCAGGGACCCTCCAGCTGTTCGCTGACCACTGCTCTATTGCTTTAGAGCATCCGACTCGAAGGTGCGTACCTGCATGCTCTGCTGGGTATTCAAACAGCAGGTTCTGATGCGCCCCAAAAGAAAAATCTTCTGTAAGTGGTGCACAGGTTAGCACAGAAAAAATATCTGTGTGGTGGGACAGTCTTGTTTGGAGAACTTCTACTCAACCAACCTTGAGCTTGCATCACAACCAACACCCACTCTTGTCTGCTTAGCCCTTTACTTATTCTATATAAACAAGTACATTGAAATAGGCACAATTTATGATTCTGAAACATTTACATGTATGGTACTACACGCTTTTACTGTCTGATATGAGATTTTAAAATCCCATTATTTACAATGAAATCCACGGTTTTCCTTGTCATGCCACCTCTTTAGCTGATCAAAATGAAACCTGGGCCTTGGAAGACTGCAGAAATGACCAAGGCCTGGTACTGAACCCCAGGCTGGGGTATGCTGCTAGCTGGTACGGGTTGCTGCTGATGTCTGTACTTCAGATTAGCATGGTTGCTCCGTCTTTCTTTGAAGAAACGGATGCATCTCACTTATGCCACCAAGCCAAGCCTTGTAATCTTTGCCGACAGGAAGGAATGAATGATGAACACAATTGGTTTCGGACAGGAATGAAGGTCGAGTTGCTGAAAGTACAGAAAGATATCAAGTTGAGAATGGTTAAATTAGATTACAGCTCAAATAAGCAATCATTTATGGAGTACTTGATTAACTGCTCTCCGGTATTTTCAGCAGACTTCTATTAATAATAACTCTTTATTACAACATACTGTCTTTCCTTTGCACACAGCTGCACGTACTTAGGTTACTAAAAGTAAGTAATAAACATCTTGAGAGCAGATGAGATCCTGGTGCCTCTGGGCTTGCATCCACCTGGGTAAGCAGCAGAAAACTGAGTCAGATGCTGCAAGAAGTCTTCCAAGAGGTTCACACGCTCCATCTTTTCAGACTGTTTCTGACCAGGGATGGTGGTGGGACTGCTATGTCCAATATACAACGCATCTGCTGTTGGTCACAGCTGAAGCCAGGATATTGCACCTTCAGCTGATGCTGCAGTTGCTCCTGTTCACACATCTGGCAGCAAGACTGAACTGAGACTTCTTTTTTCCATGGTCGTGCTTCAGATGATCTCACCACGTGCTTGCTAAGCATGACAGACTTGTCAGTGTGGACAGCAGGTTCAACACTAGGTTCACATCAAAACAAACCAGATTTGCCTTTCCACCAGTCATGCATCAACTTTATTGAGAGCTAGTAACAAGTTCCCCTCTGAAAGCCTGACAATAAGCAGTTCACAGTGTGTATTTTATCAACGGTGACATGAAGAATTGAGCACCCCATGTGCTCAGGAACTGCTGAAAAAATCTGGCAGGAAATACCATGTTTACATGCATAATTTATGGTATCTAAACCGCTTGTAGGAATAAGCACCTTATTTTTAGGCATTGTGACAGCTAACTTAGAGGCCTAAGCAGATAGTTTGCACTACATTTGTAGTCTTCAATTTTTTTCAGCAGCTAGATGTTCAGAAATGTCTAAAACATAGCTTGTTGTCATAACATAAAGTCCCTATGTGTATGTTGGAATAAATAATATTCTTAAGTTCTTCTACCGGCAATCATTTAAAAAGTGAAATGGATACGTATACAAATTCTAGAATCTGGCTACATAGAGAACTGTTTGTTCTTAAATATAAGAAATCTTCCATCCCTCTTTGCATGATTGTACCACTTTATGTCTCCTTTTAGTTTATCTTGTTCTAAAGCTAGATCATCATGCTGTACTAGAATGCACAGTGTCTAGATACTGGTATTGGAACCTGTAGTGGCCAGCAGTTATTAGTGCTTCTCCACCCTCACAGCCTGAAAGAGCACCAAAGAGATGGTAATGTGCATCCCTCTGCTACACACAGTACTTACAATTTCTCCATCCTTTCCTCCAAAGTCTAAATAAAGCATCCTTATCCCATCATCTGAGGACATTTTCAGTTTTTCATAGGGATATTGTGCAATTGTCTTAGAGAAGGCACCATCTTGCGGCTCAGTTGTAAGAGAGAATCCATGTTCGTAATGGATGGTCAAACGGCACTCCTGGCTTTTATACGTGCAAGCTGAAGAAGGAGAGAAAATTTAGTCTGTAACATTCTTAAAAGCAATAAATTCCATTTGGGTGCAGACACCTGCATTTTACATTTGACCTTGACACTATCTTGCGCGAAGTGACCTTTCCTAAAACTGGGCTAATCATGCTCTAATGGTAAACCTGCAGATTTGGAAAAACAACAGAATGGCTTCTGTGCAAGGTCCAAGCAAGGTCTTTTAGTTCTGCTATAAACACACAGACTAAAATTGTGCTTGGCAGTAGCGGTACTGATGTCAGTCCTTTCAGTTATTCACTGCGTTCTTCGTGTGGCAGCGTATTTCTACGTGCTGACACAAAAACAATCCAATGAAGTTTAAGAAGGTTCAGGCTGGCATTTCCTCCTTGCAAGCCTTCACAAAGTCACAGCTAAACATTGTACATAGCCAAAATCAATGAGTGAGGCACACAACGCACGACAAAACGGGAAGCTGTAAAGGGTTTCCCTGAAGTATTTTGACAAAGATGAAGACACTCCCGAGTCCTCATTAGTGTCATAATTGAAACAGGGCCCAGATAATTGTATATAATAGCTACTGCAGCAGAAAGTCTGCATCATCCCCTCAGCTCAGAACCACAGGCCAGGATCCAAATTAAAAAATGGAAGAGTTTAGGTGTTCACATCCCAAATTCCCTTCTCTCCCACTTTCCTGTGAACGACCCTGGCAAGGACAGTCCTTGGCACTGGGATAAAAGCACCACGATAAAAGGGCTGATGCCCTCCTCCTGTTTTAGGAAAGAAAGGCATCGATGTCACTGGGCTGAGGAGGTGGACGTGGTCTCCAGGTGGTTCCCGCTGAACACCCTGCTTGGCTCCCACATCGGAGGCCCTCGCAGAGCAGCCTGGCTCCCCACGAGGCACGGGCCCGTACCTGAGGTCTCCACGAACTCAGCACTGCCCTTCGCTGTGGAGTGGATTTGTGCTTTGGCTCTTGCTCTCACACTTTTAGGCGACGAGTGGAGATAATGTTCAACTTTAACTGCCCTATCAACTGGAGAGCTAGTGGGAGAAGGACCCCAAATCCTGGGGGTACTCAAGAGAAAGGCACAGCCTCAAAGCCCCAGAGCCACGCCAGGTTAGCAGCTACCTGGCTGAACGGGGCATCGCTCCAGAGCATCTGCAGCTGATTACTTTTATTCCAGTGGATTTTTTAGGTACAGAAGTGCTGAGAAGTGACACCCTGATGTTCAGGGAGAGAAATGACTACCCATCAAAATGTAGCTTTGGACTGATTTGTATTTTTTTACCCTTTTCAAGTGTGTAGAGCTGGGTGAATAACTGACCAATTCACGCTTGTGAATGTGCTGGTCCTCCTCTGCCTCCCACCAGGCTCTCAGGGGTCTCCTGAGTCTCAGAAAAATGCTCTTTTCTGTGGGTTTCTGGATGAACCTCTGACGATCACTCCTCCATGACACACAGCCCTACATGGCTGACTACAGGCTTGTGTCTGAAACACCATGCCAAAAACAAGACCAAAAGTCAGAATGACAGTGACTGTCTCACTGGCCACAGGTACCACACCAGCTGGGGCTGGCTCAGAAACCAAGGGGACAGTATTTTAAAATATGCACTTTTTTTTAAATGAATCACCCCTAGCAGGAGGAGCTTGAACTACCCACGAGTGTTACACGGAGATGTGGAGACGCGGCACCGCGGGTGTGACTCACATGTGGTGATTTCTGTGATGAGCTCCGCAGAATTGTGGCAGCCCTGCACTACGCTCCTCGTCCACAGTGAGAGGTCTCGGCTTGTTTCCGTCCTGAACAGATGGGTTTCAATCCCTTGCCTTGTACCGGTACGGGTTGCGAAAGACAAATCCACCCCCGACTGCGGTGAGCCTTTTCCTGGGCCAGAATGGACCAACCTGCAATTGGATTTGAAAACACATCAGGGAATTACAACGCTGACAGAGCGCACTGCCCCCAAATCCCTACCTGAGCACAGCTCTGCTCTGGACGTTCCCAAACACACGTGGCTGGGAGCATGAGAACTCGTATCTCCTCTGTATTTGAGCTTGAAGTGACTCCTAGTGACATGCGGAAGAGAGAAGGTCCAAAGCAGCGAGCAGTGAAGCAGCTGGACATGCAGGTGATGGCGGGGATGTCCCAGCGGGCCCTAAATTCCTAACAAATGGTAGAAAACGCCCCTTTGGATGAGGAACTGAGAGAAATCACTGACTGGTCTGTTGTGACGGGGTTTGGTGCACAGGTGCAAGCGCTCACTCAAGGTGAGGCAGCTGAATCCGACCTTTACTGTCGGGCTGTAGCTGCCATAAAGCTTAAATATCTGCAGACAAATTCAATGGTAAATGCTGTCAGATAAAGAAAGAAGTTCTGTAAAATACACAAATGCCAAAGTACTGTCTTGTGCACACTTTTCCCGTAAGGAACCTGCAAAACACAAAATGCAGCAGCTATTTGTAATCTGAAATTCACATTTTGCTGCATTTAACGTTTTTTTTGCCTGGAATCAACAGCTGTTCTCCCATGACCAGGAAAAATTCCCTAATTGCAGGGAATAATTTTGTGTGAGAAAATCAACACCTTATACTACTTAATTCTTCTTTAAGACTCTCCTTTTGGGTTTTTTTCCTGCAGAAGCGTGGACAGTGAATACAGAGTTCATCACTCTTTGAGACCCAGGCACTAACCCTCTGAGGAAGCTGCAAAATGAAACCACAGAAGTTCTTCTGAAAAATATATTTGTCTTCAGTCTCCTGTCTCCCTTTCTATAGGCAAACAATATACTTCATATGAGACTATAAAGTAAGTATGTAGCATGGTAGTAGAATACTTGTGCTGAAGCATAAAACATTAGATTATACTAATCATCCACTGCATGCTAATTCACCCTCAAATTATTGTTTTGCATCTGGAAGAACAGTTAGCTGACGCTGCAGAAGTATGCCATTAAACAGAGATGTTTTAAATAGGGAAAAAAAGCAGAAAGGAAAGAAAAAGCACAACTTCAGCTTTTCAGTTATTGAAACACTAACCATAGGGCATCTGAAATTCTCACCAATTCCCTGGCAGTCCGTGCTGACATTTGCAATGTGCCTGGTGCAAAGAGACGCGTCCCTCTCGCATACCCAGCCAGAAGGTTTGCAAGATTTGTTCATGCTCAGGTCTGTGGTACCTTCCTTTGGAATTGAGCATCTGCCTTGATTTCGTGGTCCCAGGAGGCCCCAGGAGGCAAGGGGCAGAGTATCCCAGCAGAGCTGCCCTGCCCTGTGTCTGGGCAGGAAAGTCTTTTCCAGAGAGGCACCCTCACCCGCTCCAAGTGCTTTTTTTTCCCCCAGAAAGGCTGTGTTAACACCCCGCTCAGCCTTGATGCTCAGGGCCTCCTAACTGCACCCGAGGCAGATTTTGCAGTCAGGGAGTCAGCGGCAAACGAACAGCCCAAAACCTCATAGAATCATAGTTTGGGTTGGAAGGGATCTTTCAAGGCCATCTAGTCCAACCCCCCTGCAATGAGCAGGGACATCCTCAACTCGATCAGGCTGCTCAGAGCCCCATCCAACCTGACCTGGAATGTTCCCAGGGATGGGGCATCTACCACCTCTCTGGGCAACCTGGGCCACTGCTTCACCACCCTCATTGTGAAAAATTTCTTCCTTATATCTGAAATCTGCCCTTTTTTAGTTTCAAACCGCTACCCTTTGTCCTATCGCTACAGGCTCTGCTAAAACGTCTGTCCCCATCTTTCTTCTAAGTACTGGAAGGCTGCAGTAAGACTTTTATTCACTTTGATTTGGCGTGAGGAGGTGCAAACTCTGAGGAGAAGCTGCATCTTGATAATTAAAGCAGGAGATTGGGCACTGAAATCTCCAGCGAGTTCTGCTGCTGCTGCCCGGCCCCGTCCGGTTGCTCAGACGCAAACAGAGCTGCCGCGCTCACGCTGCCTTCTGCTAGCGGCGGGGACACGGACAGCTGCGGGAAAGCAGCCTGGAAAATCACATCAAGTTTGTCATTAGAAATAAAACTATTCCAGCTTCAACCTGGGTCACCCCTTCTCTTCTATACAGCGCTCATCAGCTGTGCTAAAAATTGTTTTCTAATACTTGGGAAACTGAGTATGTGACAGATGGTTCCGATGTTTTATTTCCTTTCATATCCACCCTCCCGCTCCCCTTTGTGCTTTACCCGTAGAGCACTGGCATTGCAGGTTCGTCAGCATATGGACACAATGAAGATGTACTTTACAAATTAAAGTACATGGACACAACTAACGAACATAGTTTCTTGCCTGCCTTCATATTCGCATTATCCCCTCATTATTAAAAATTCAGTCTCACTATTTCAAAATCCTCTTCTATCATATAACACCAGATTGTGCTTTGGAAAATCATGCAGTTAAACATGAACGAGGCAAATATGCAGGGGAACATTTGATTGTATTTACGTATCAGCTGTCAGTACTGATATATTTGGTACAGGTTGAAGGATTCCCAAGATATAATAAAGTCGCATTCACGTGAGCTGTTTTGTTTACATAAAAGATATTTTATCCTAAAGACCACAAAAATACCTTAAAGGGCAAAAGAATAGTCTTAGAAACGTCACAGAAGGGTTCCCCTCGCCTCCCGTCACTCTGACTGCAGCGGAGGTTGTGAGCACGGTGCACCCTGTGTCCCGGAGTCGAAACAGCACCCCGGGGCCAGCTCTGGCGATACCCACCCACAGTCCCTGAAGGTTACTGGGCTCTGTGGAGATTCCTGAGGTGTCTGCGAGTGCGCAGGAGCCCGAACTCTCCTCCCCGGAGCAGCCAGAGCCGCAAGAGGGCAGGAGAAGTTTGGTCACGATCAAGTCTGTTTGCACAGCGCGTAGATCAGGTGGTGGCTGTAAAATACAACTCTTGGCATGCTCCAGGGAGCCAGGGAGACACTTCTAATCTTCTCCAATTTCTCCCTTGTCCGTCTATGTTTTGGGGACCTTTTTGGCGTTATTCTTTGCAAATGTGTGACAGCAAGATGGGTACGGTCCAACGTGAAGTGCTGGTACTGGGTGAGACGCACTGGGACCCGCCTCTCATCCTAATGCTATGAAAAGAGTTTCAACCGTTTTCTGCAGCAGCAAACTCTAATGGCCTCTTCAGAAAGGACAGCGAGACCAGCACTGACATTCAAAGCAAGTGTTCAGCTGCTCACCTGAGATTTGTCTCAGAAGAGGCCATGATACAAGTGCATCAGCAGTCGTGCAGCTCTGCCCAGCAGAAAGCTTCTATCATCTGACCTTTCCTATGTTAACACCACTCCCTACTCTGACTTAGCATTTGAAACCTGCTCTGGAATGGCTGTACTCATTGGAAATCTATGCACATGCTGGCAATTCATCCAAGCTCTGCCCCGGAGGGAGCCGCAGCCACCTCCGCTGCGCCGGGAGGAGGAGCGGGTAACTTGCACAGCTTGCATGCCACCTCATACACCTTCGCTGGGGTGCTCGGGGACCCCAGTGCTCCCCGCCTGCCCCTCTCTCCGCTGGCACTGAGGACTAACGGGTGCCCAAGCTCCTTACCCAACTTACCATGGCATTAACTATCAAACTGCTTTAATACTTTCTGGTTACAGACCTCAGCTTTGCACAAAAGTTACTCACCTGATCTTTAATCAGAGCCCAGCATGGGCTGCTTTACTATTATTTTTTTTCATTTCATATCTGGCTACGATAGATAATTCAATTTGATGGCAAACATTTAAGATGTAATTACTTAAGCCCCATTCCCATGCTAGAGGGACGCACTGTTATTCAGGCATACGGAAACAGTGAAACAGAGATTATGACAAAAAGGTCCTTGGAGTCAGGGCTACGAGCCAGCTGCTATGCCTCCCAGTGCAGAGATTTAAAGGAATGACTTAAATCTCCTGATCTCAGTTTTATTTGAGCTATTACTTATATTCTGCACAAAGCTGGGAAAGACTGACTGGAAAATACTTTTAGGTCTTAATAGCATCCATAGGTTGAAGGCAAACTTATCACCAAACAGAAAGGGCATGCTGAAATTCTGCTGTAAGAAGATTGTAATCCTTCTACCACTTTCCAATTTTCTCTGCTCATTATGTCTTGGGTAGATTAAGCACGACTCCGTACAGTATCTGGCACTGAAGTTTTCCAGTTTCAGCAGCTTTTCAAATATGCATTAGCTAAGCAAAAATGTTTTCCCAAGGACTCATAAAAAAATGAAAGATGGGAGCAGCCAAGATTACAACATGTGGTCTGCAAACTTTCCAGGTGAAAAGTTCTAAATTGCACTGATCAATGCACAGAGGGGATTAAAAACCCCATCACGAGGAGGGTAATCACTGACCAAGCATGAACACAGCAGTCAATACCACCAGCAAACCTGTGTATTTTTTTGGTATAGCTGTACTCAGTGTGACAGATCATAAAAGCAGAATCCTGCAGGGTTTTAATCAAAATCATCCAAAACAGTAAGTGTAATGATTTAGGGAATCTGTCAATTTATGTAAGATGTTTACCTTGGGGATTCATGTATTTATCAGATTGTGACTTCTTTCTGAATGTCAAGTTCTGTATGTCTGCTGTCTTTTTCCCTGAGTGTTAAATTCACTGCGATACTAGTAAGAAATCACAGAGATGGGGCTGGAATGGTTGTCAGGAGGTCACCCGGCTCATCGCCCTTCCCAGAGCAGGGCTAACTGTGCCGACACGCTCCTGAGGGTCACAGGTGTTACCCGTCCCTCAAAGTCCTCAGTGGTGAGGATCATACACCTTTCCTAGAGAACCTAATCCAGTACCTCACCCGCACACCAAGTTTTTCCCAAGACCTACCCCAAACCTCCCCTGCCACAAATGCAGCCAACTATGTCCTGTTGTATCTGGCAGGGACCTGGAGAACGTGCTCCCCTGTCCTCCTCCTGGTTTCTCATCTTCATACATGAAAACTATTGACAAGTTTTCCATGGACTTCTCCAGATTAAACAACCAAGGTTTCTTAAGTATTGCCCTACTGATACTGTTTTCTAGGTCCTACATTTGCACTGCTTTCTTCTAGACCTTCCACAGTTAACTGGCATCTTTTTGGAAGTGCAATGCCTCACGTGAAGGTGGTTATCGCCTGTATCACTTGAGGCTTTACTCATGCTCTGTAGTTAAGTTAGATTACTACAACTACCCAACACACACCACTTCTGCTATAACGCAAGATGATTGTCTTTATTTTCTCAACAACATAACACTGTAGATTTAAGCAATTTCGCCACACTGCCCACATGCTTCCTGGCAGAGTAACTATTTTGTCAGTCGTTCTCCACCCCAAACCAGCGCATCTGAGCGTTCCCTAGCATTGAACTTTGCGCTTGTCCTTTCTGAACCGCATCCCGTCTTTCTTATAGGCCATTTTCCCAGTCGTAAAGACCCTTCAGCAGCCTGACACCTGTGTCAAGTAACTCCTCATCCCCCTTGAGCCTGAAGGCCAATGCTCTTCCACTCACACGGGAATCCCACCGGACAGGGAGATGACTATCCCCACCCAAGGCAAGCCAGTCTGCCATCAAATCTCAACTCCTGAGAAAAAGTAATTAAGTAACAGACTCTCCAAGACGAGGACTTAGATTGTTTGATTTGGTAAATCAGTCGTCACTGATGACGAGGGCTGGCGATGCCCACCAAAGGGCTGTCTTTACACATGCCGAAGTGTGGGCAGGAAAGGCCAGAGTGTGCTGCAGGGTCTTCAGTCACTGGGAGGAGGACGACTTGGGTCCGTGTACAAATGACACCCTGAAGCACTGGGCAGGAGATGCATCACTTTCTGCTGGGGTGCTCTTGCTACACAAACTAAGGCTTTAGTCACACAGCTGGACGCAGCCTCCAGCTCCAACACCTTACTCAGTTTTCATTGGGAATTCCCACCTGGGATTGCCAGCCTTCAGGGCCACGATGTGCAGCAGGCTGCAAGCTGCAAGGCATGGGGTTCTCGCCTCACGTTGCAATAACAAAGAGTGAGTCAGAAGGCAGCTTCCCAGGAAATCTGAAAGCTCCATCACAAGTAGATAGACTGGGACAAAATGACCATCAGTGTAATTCACCAAGTTCAATTTTTTTTTTTTAAATATAATGATTTAGCAGCAAAGTCTCAGTTCATTTGGGGAGACAACTAAGAGGCCAAGAACAAAAATTAACTAATGAGAGTGCAGTAAGAGACCCACTGCTTTTGGCCATGTGCTACCAGCCCTTCTGAATGAGAACTCTTTGAAAATGGTATAATAAGAGGCCTGTAGCAAGGCCAAAACAGTGGAACAGCAGCTCTTTCTCAAGGCCTTTGGCCCTACTGGCAGAGAAATGTGATTAAGATTCACATCAAGAAGCAGTTTTCACTGCATAAAGACAACCATGGGAAAGCTCTCTCTGAATTAGTGTTGATGGATACTTTCAAAATAATGCACATGGTTATTTCCAACCTAGATTCAAGATGTGTCTTCCAAGCTCACCATTTTAAGCTAAAAGAAGCCAGAAATTTGTTTCCTAGAGCAGGAACACAAGCTGTGCTGAAATTAAGTGTCTCTGTCATATATGTGCAAGCCCCACAAAGCTCCAGACAAGTGGTGCAGAGCTACCTCACCAGCATGTCCAACTCAAGGCAACAATTCCATGTTTCTCAGCCTGGAGGAGTGGCTGGAAATTCACGTGCTTCTGCCAAGCCCTCAGGTCTGCACACTGAGATAGAAATCTCAGGAGAACAAGCTCTTGGCTTTTTCAGCACGCCTGCCTCTGGATCTGGGCCAGACGCGTCCATAATCCTTCTGGTATGCTTCTGGCCATCAGCCTCAGCCAGAACTTGAAACAGGGGAGAAGTGAAGAGTTAAGCTGAGCACATTGGCCCATTGAAGAAGAATCTGCTTCTCAAACCATGACATTTCAAGTGTGATATATAGCTGTGCACCAGCTACACCTGTTCCGGACTGACTTAGCCCTTCTCACCACTCTTGAAGCAGTTGTAATAAAAAAACACAGGTACCTGGTGGCCAGCAGGGGATAGGTATGCAGCGGGCTGAACCAAGCTTCCTTCATCCGCGGCATGCTCTCATATATTAAGAGGTCTTTCTCCGTCAACACCACCAACACTGGCTTCCAGTGCTTGTCGTTGTCTCCTGGCACCTGAAAGAGAGCAAAATCTCAGTGAAACAACCAGAGACAAAGCTACCATCGTGGAAAGCCTGATGTTATGAACATGTCAAGTCCCAGGCGAGATAATGGACAAATGAGAGTTTTACTTTGGCTTTTTGACATCTCCCACCTGAATTTATAACCAGCTGCAGCAAAAATGGAGTAAAGTGCAATGACATCTGCTGCTCTCATTAGCACTGCCATTTCCAGCCCCCCTTGCAGCCTTCCCTTACTACAGCTACTCCATAAATGCAGTTGTGGAAGAACACCAAGACAGAGCTGGCTATTATTTAGCTGTGGTATGCATGAAAGGTCCTTAAATGTATATTTATAAAGTGCACCATTCATGTGTAGCTGGCACATTAACCTAAGTGCTGGACATTGCTGCTGCTGTTTCTATTTTCATGAGTGAAAAAAGCTGCAACATCATCACTATTAAAGAAGAGTGTCAGGTAGTAAAAAATAGTGGTTTGGGAGCAGATGCTTTTTTCCTCAGCAGTTCATGTTTTCACTGCTTCTCCTTCCTCAATGCTGTTCTTCCAGCTTTACAGATGCCAATTTATAGATATCCAACCTAAACCTGGGGTTGATCATAGAACCATAGAATAGTTTGGGTTGGAAAGGATCTTTCAAGGCCATCTAGTCCAACCCCCCTGCAATGAGCAGGGACATCTTCAACTCGATCAGGTTGCTCAGAGCCCCGTCCAACCTGACCTGGAATGTTCCCAGGGATGGGGTATCTACCACCTCTCTGGGCAACCTGTGTCGCTGTTTCACCAACACTGATCTGAAGCATTGACTCAGTGATGGATCTACATTTCAAACCCATCCGTAGAAGATGCTGAAAGACTGGGGCGTCAGAGCCCTTTACTGGCTGCATAATCCAGATGTGGAATTATATTTTGCAGGTTAGACATGTGGTAGTCCACATGGCTACACAATTACCATTATGGGGACCAAGTATGGATCCTGGATTTTGCTTATTCTACTCTGGCAGCATAGAAGTGTCTTAAAATAGATGTGAATATAAAAGAATCTTAGTTTCAAGTAAGAAGGAACCTCTTGTCTTTCACAGACACGTTCAACATTTTCCTTTTGGTGCACATAAAGTGAAAGAAACCCCGTTGTGCAGTAACACGCACAGCCATGCTTTCAAACCCAAACATGTTGGCTAGGTACTAAAGGGAATGAAACAAATTCTGAGATTCACCAGAGAATCTCGTCGTCTGCATGGCTCCATTAAATCCTTCTCTGGCAAAGAGAAGCAGCTGTCTCTGATGTTTTATGGTTGACGCCAGCCTACTTGCCACAGGCGTGTGTCACTGGGCACATCGCTGTGTGGAGAAACATATAAAAGGGATCAGTCAAGGGTTGGCCAGGCTGGGAGTGGCACAGCCAGGAATGGTGATTCAGATCCTTAAGCACGATGTGCCTTAAGTGATGGATTCAGATTGAGAACCACGTTTGAAGCACTTGTATTTTATATGAAGACAGGGTCACACAGATTCTAAACTTTTAAGGACTTTCAAGACAGTTGTAAGATAGCTGTGCACCAGAACACCAATGCCCAAAGCAGGTCTTAAACTAAGATTTTTGGTTTGCATAATTTTTGAGAGGTATTTTTCCTTCTGAATTAAGCTCTTCCAGTAAACATATTCCTTTGCAGCAGTACTTGCTCACTGGTTGTTCATGTCTGTGTGTTAATCAACTTAAAGTCATAAACGGTTCATCCTTTTAATTTCTTCAGAAGCTTCAATACTTATTCACAATTTTCTTGTGGTGACAGTTTCTTGAAATGCAATCTTTCATTTTCAAATAGGGCTGAATAGAGAAGCTGCATAATTAACACACCTATTAATACACTCCAGAAAGAATGCAAAATCCAGAGTCCTTGCAGCCCATTTACCATGGAAATATGCACACAAGCAAAAAGCATTCTCAGCTTCTTAGTACCACTGTTATTAACTGCAGTTAACACCCCAGTTCCTAGAGGGGTAATATAGAAGTAAATGTTACAGTCAATGGTAACATTTCATAAATGTTATGGTTAATGTTGACATTTAATTTTTGAGCACCTGCCTGTGTTCTGTGACTAGAAAGATTTTAGTACATACTTGTCAAGATTTCCAGAAAAGAAAAAGGGAGATGAACATGCAATCTCTCATAGGATGAAAAAGCAGGATGTTCAGATCCACCATCCGGAGGAGTAAGCAGGCAGTGTGCTGGGCTCTTACTTCTTGTTTTTCAATTCTGTGACCACAAGGAATCCAGAGACTACGGGAAGCTACTCGCAGCTTTTTGTGCAGAGCCATCCCGTCTAGCTTTCTCAATCACCAGCCTTATTAGGTGGCTGGTCAGTCAGCTGTGACTCCAGCAACTTTGGGCAACACCGTTGCCCGTAAAGCAACCACAAGAAAGGGACTCAAATTCATTTGGCCAGCTGGTCCCTCAACTATTTCCTGGACAGCTGTGAACATCAGGAACCGGAATTTCCAGCATGGATCCTGCGGTCACCACCTGCACAGCGAAGCCCACAGCTTTGCCTCCATCCTTCCCAACAGCAGGGTGGCTACGGAGAAGATGTGGCTCGGTCACAAGGTATTGAAGACTTTTTCTCAAGAATAAGTGACCTTATTCTACCTCTCCTTGTAGGATGCGTCCTGTGTTTCTAGGGTGCTTTCCGGGAAGGGGAGAGAGGAGAATGATGTTTGCCTGCATCCTGCTGGGAAGCCCTCCCCAGTAAGAAGGACCCTGCAATACACACACTTTTAATCACATTTTTTTAAACCTTGCTGGGACCATAGCTGTCTCACTGCTAAGGAATGCTGGTGTAAGCAATACTGCTGCTATTTCAGACCTGGAGAAGGATTTGTGTGCCTGAAAGCTTGTCTGTTTTTTCCAACTGTAACAGCTGATCTAATAAAAGATATTGCCTTTCCTTAAAAACCCTGAATTGCATTACTGTTCCCTGATTTCGCTGGGGTTTGGATCAGGCTTTAACAGCTGATGACGTGCTGTTCGATAGGCAGTTGGCACTTCTGGAAGGTGTCAAAGAGAACACACTGTCCTGTAAATGGTAATAGCAAATTTTGCAAAGGAAGAAGAGAGGCTGCAAATACACAATTAGCCTACAGGGCACATTCAGAACAAATCAGCATGGGAAATTAATCCAGATGAAGCAAGTGCCATACCAAGCATGAGTATAACAGCAAATTACAAAACAAAAGCAAAAAAACATGCTCCTTACGGGCAGCTAAGTGAAGGATTTGTTCAAGTTTTACAGGTTTTAAAATCTGACATATCATAACATGAAATACTTCTGCAAGAGTAAATTTAAGTATCATCTGAGATACATTTTACAGGCACCATTTTTGACGATGGTTAGGGCCAGCTTCTTAGCCAGAATTTTGCATAATTCTGGCACTTGCCCTACAATTTCTTCACTCTGGTTCCTACTTGCACACGTACAACTCAAAGTGCATTTATCTGTGTTGTGGAACAACAAAATCACCATTCACTCTAAAAAAGTTTTCAAAGTCATTTTTTAGTCAAAAATGTTAGATCAAATCTAGATGAACCAGAGAAAAGAAAACTCAGTACTCCTCAAATCTCCCCCCACAATAAAATGAATCAGCAAATTTTTTGATGCTCTTCTGGGTTCAGGTAACTCTAAGCAACAGGTACCAGTGCTCCCTCTCCATGTTCTGCTCATCTCAGCTGAGGTCACTGCTTAAGTCCCGGGTGGAATTCTATTTCAAGTTGGTGAAGCTGTAAATGTTTATACCAGAAGAAAACTTGTTTTTTTGGTTTTTTTTTTCTTTCCTAGACACGCTGTGCCTCTAGATCAAAGTCTTCAAATACAAACCTGAAAAAGGAGAACATATTCTAACAAAAAACCCAAATACCAGTGTGGTGAAGCATCCTTTTTGCTACTTGCAAACCTCATATACTCACTCCATGAACTGCAAACCCCACTTTTTCCCATATGCACCTCTCCGGTTTACCTTTCCATATTCAGAAAATATTTCACGTATGGCAAGGGATGAAACACAATTTTTTTGTGTATAGCAAGGTGATGGCTGGGCCTGGGATGACACCAGAGGAGACCTGCATTCACGTTTTGCTTGGCCACAGGCTTCTTCTGCAAAGTCAGTCTAAATGCTCTGTGTTTCCATACGGACACTGCAGTCTCCGCTGGGGTGGCACGTGCTGCTGTAACACACACGGCAGGAACAGACATAGATGTGAAGGTGGACAAAAAGTGCACAGGAGCGGCTGCTGAATTTCAGCAGCTATGTGGAGACTTGTCACAGAATGATTAATTAAGGTTGGAAGAGACCTTTAAGATCATTAAGTCCAACCATCAACCCAACACCACCATGCCCACTAAACCATGTCCCGAAGTGCCATGTCTACACATTTTTTGAACACTTCCAGTGATGGTGACTCCACCACCTCCCTGGGCAGCCTGTGCCAATGCTTGATCACTCTCTCTGCAAAGAGATTTTTCCTAATATCCAATCTAAACCTCCCCTGGCACAACTTGAGGCCATTTCCTCTCGTCCTATCGCTGGTTACTTGGGAGAAGAGACCAACACCCACCTCGCCAAAACCCCCTTTCAGGTAGTTGTAGAGAGCGATAAGGTCTCCCCTCAGCCTCCTCTTCTCCAGACTGAACAACCCCAGTTCCCTCAGCCACTCCTAAGACTTGTGCTCCAGACCCCTCACCAGCTTCGTTGCCCTTCTCTGGACACACTCCAGCACCTCAATGTCCCTCTTGTAGTGAGGGGCCCAAAACTGAACACAGGATTTGAGGTGCATCAGCCTCTGCTGACGCGAGCAATAGTGCTTCGATGCAGCAAGCAGACAGCTCACGCAGCGTTAGGACACACCGGACCCCACCACACCAAGGATGTGCCTGAGCTCTGGCTGCTTCTGGATGCCTTTTCAGCCATGGGGCAGCACCGCTCTGGGCTTTGCCTTAGGGATGG